CTGAGGGTGTTCGACGTGCCCTCGACGGTCGACCAGAAGGCCGAGGTGCTGCAGGAGGTGCCTGTTGCTGCAGAGGAGGGACAGCCGGGGCCGCTGGCGAACTTGGAGGATGTCGGGCCGATTGAGATCCCCGCCAATCTGACGACGAATCAGCAGGCGTTGACAATATGGTGCACTCGGTTGCAGGTCAGCAGGCAGACAGACAGACAACGGACAACGGCTGCAATGATACTTGCTGTGTCTATGTCATTTCCTTGTTTAGATGTTGGGGTCGGGTCTCGTGTCACGAGGCTGTCGTCGGTCAATCAAGTCGCTGAAGGTCAAGTTCGTCAACCGGGCGGTTGTGAGCCCAAGGCTTTTCGACTTCGCCGAGGCCCTGCAGACATTCGCCAGTGCGGTGTGCATCGAGGATGCCCCCATCAGCTTCAAAGGTGTCGTAGGGTGGTTCCTCCTGAAGACTCTGTACCGCCCCCTCTTCCCCGCTGCCCCGTCCCCCGTCCTCGAGACCCTCATGCACCAGCTGGCAAACCAGGCGACAGAGGTGGGAGTGGACCTCAGGTGGTACACCCTCGCCGCCCCGGCCACGCCTGCGATGCTGGACATGGCCAGAGGTCTCGCATTCAACAAGGCCACGCGTGTGGTTGTGTTGGGTGTCGACCAGCCTGCACAGGCCGCCCCCGCCCCCGCCCACCCTGCCCTCGCCATCATCCACCAGATCCAGCCGATGCCGCAGGTGTCGTCCCTGTTTCTCGACAAGCACACGGCATTAGCGGCCGGCATCCAGCTCGCCAGCAAGATGCCCAACTTGCGGGAGCTGTCCATCCAGGGCGGTGTGCCGATGGAAGAGGCGCTGCAGGCCATCAAGGCCATCGGGTGTGAGCGGGAGCTCGACGAGGTGGACCTGAGTGACATTCAGGGGGTGGGCAGCGGGGGCATCGACATAGGGGAGCATATTAGAGAGGGATTCCCACAGATCACCAAACTGGTTGTCGATCTTAGAGGTGGGTGGATTGGAGGGTAGACTGCCCCACGGAGAGGGAAAGAAAGTAACACCCAGAGAGACCTGTATCTGAATCTGCGTCTGTGCCTGTCTGTGCGTCTGTGTGTCCAATCCCACCAGTTCCTGGTGGCGTCACCGACTTTGTCGAGTTCGCCTGTTCGAGTGTGAGATCGCTGCTGCAGCTCAAGTGCAAGACGGTGGACCTCCTGCTGCGGGGCCTGGATGCCGACACACGCAGCCGGCTCGAGTCTGCCGTGCCTGCACAGCTTGGCAGCATCGTGGGCACGATGATATGGTGCTCGCAGAAGGGGGAGAAGCTCAGGATCACTGCCGAGCATGACAGTGGGTAGCTACGGGTGTGTAGCGGCGTATGGGAATGGGCCAGCCATTGATGTGTGTGTACAGGGTCCATGGATCGGGTGAGACGTTCATGTGATGCTCGATCAAGAATTGGTGACTCGTGTCAAGACGGTCCCATACATGCAGTCATTACGACCTCTCACTCATTCATTCATCTGCATCTCCTCTCTCCCGTCCATCATCCATCCATCCATCGACCCATGCATGGCTCTCATCTCATTTGGCTCGCACGAAGCCGATCATGAGCTTGGAGCGGTCGAACACGGTGTAAAAAGCACGCAGGAACACCTGCACACAACACACACTTCCTGTCCCTGTCCCTCTCTCTCTCTGGCTGTCTGACCTGTCCGAGTGTCCACCCTCTGATGTCATCCGTCTCGCCGGCGTCGTCCGTCGCTATGCCTGCATGGGCACACAGATACAGTGATTTGTCGTACTTGTCTGTGTGTGTGTGTGTGTGTGTGGGCTGTAGCTGACCGAGCATGCATTCTGACTGTCCGTCCTCCCGCCGAAACTCCAAGACGTAATCGTCCGGCGTCAACACAAGCTGCAGCCACACACACCCCCACACATGAGGCGCACATCCCCCTGTCTGTCTGTCTGTCTGTCTGTCTAGGTCTGTGTGACCTCCAGGACGTTGCCTTCGAGCCCCTGTATCTGCAGCATGAGGGACGGCAGCCGGCCGCGGTCGGCACACGACGACACACGCAGGTCAGACAGATCGGTCGACTTGGGGGCGTAGATGAGATAAGTGCCAGTGTCTGAACAGACACGAATGACACGTGTGTGTGTGTCTCCACTCAATGCTTATGTGTCACCGACCGACGATCGACGTCTTCTCGCCGTCCATGCTGATGTCGAGGAGCGGCGCTGTGGCTGACGGGCTGTCTTGCGGCTGTGCCTTGCGAACGCCGAGGACAGTGACGGCCCAGTAGGACGATGAGGGGTCGACAGGCGCCCACACAAACTCCTCGGCTGGCGTCCGCTTCAGTGACAGGTCCGCACCGCCAAACAAGATCTGGCCGCCGTCGTGAGACAGATGGTACGAGAACTGATTGGCCAAGCTACACGTACACACACACACAGAGGTGAGAGAAAGACATCTCATCCGTGTGCCTGTCTGTCTGTCTGTCTGCTGTGTGTGGGTGTGGGTGAGACTTGAGCTTAGTGAGGATTTCGTTCTTCATGATCGTGTCCCTGACACACATACACACAGAGACATGGCAGCCACGTCTCCCTTTCTGCCTCTCTAGTTGCATCGATCTAGGTGTGCATCGTACATGAGTGGTGTGACGCCTCTCTGTTTGATCTCCGCGTTTGCAAAGCCCAAACCGACAATGCCGTCCCACTCGATGGTCTCGAGCAGCGGCACGTCGACCGTCGACGCGAACCCCACACTCTGATTGGGAACCTCGATGCCATCACCGACCACAACCTGCACACCACCACACAGAGAACATGCAGCCGCCCCTCTCTCTCTGTCTCTCTCTGTGTTGGTTATATTTTACTCACCGTCTCGGTTGCGTCTCGTCCGGCGACTTTGCCGCTGAGGTACTCGACGCTGAGTCGCGAGGGCTGGCCGTCTGACGTCCGCCGCGGGCGGTACGTAACACTCCGCCGGTAGAGGGTGTGTCTCGCACAGGCGGGACTCGCACAGCTCTGGTCGGGCACCCACAACTCGCACTACGCACACGGATGGACACAGAGACGTGAGATGGGATTGTCGTTGTGTGTCGGTGGTCGTCTGACCGACCGATGCTGTGTCGAACAAGACTTTAAAATGTGTCGTGGGGCTCTTGCTGCATCCATCCATCCATCCACAGAGACACAGCCATGCATCCACCTCGAGTGCGCGTGTGATTTATTGGCTGACTTACCCGATGCCGATTGTGCCGAAGTAAGTCGCCAGACGCTGCACACAAAGACACAAAAACACAAACCATTCTGTCATTCCGTCACTGCTTAGTTTCTGTATGCGCCTACCTTTGATGCGAGGACTTGTGTGTGCAGGGGGAGTCTGTCGCCGCCTCGAAGACTCAGCTGCAGAAAGGACGGGGCAGACAGAGTGGCGTTGTGTCTCATGCGCACATGGTCCCTCTCTGTCTGCCGGTCGATGCGCGTCAGCGGCACTCTGATCAGGCCGTCAGCAGACACACATGCACTGCAACAGAGGGCGAGAGCCAAGGCCAGCAGCAGCAGACGAACCATTTGCTTGAGTGATTGATTAACCCGTCAGTCAAAATGTCAATCAATACGTGTTAACGGCAACGACATGATTGTACCTATGACATATATATGTGTATCCAACAGTGATCGATCAGTCAGCCAGCAAGTCAGCCATCCTCTGCTCGTGTGTCAGCAAGGCATTGCCACGCTGGATATGAAGATAAAAGACTCATCTCCTATGCCCTATGACTTCCATTTGCTTTCTTTCCTTCCATTTCCTTTCTGTTCCATTCTCATTCATTCAGAAAATTAAGAGACAAAGAACAGGACGGCCAACAAAGCCGAGAGAGAGAGATAGAGAGAGAGAGATTTCAAACTCCACCCCTTTGCTCAAGAGGTAATTCGCTCCAAAGCAGGACAGGCACAAAAGAGTCACAAACAATAAACACCACAAGGGCCACGAATGCCCCAAAAAGAGAGCATCCAGTCATACAAACAAAACCTATGTGTGTGTCTGCCTGCCTGTCTGTCTGCATTTGGTTCTGAGAAGAGAAGACGTCCTGGGGGCTTCTGGGGGCTTGTGGGGGCTTGTGGGGGGTGTGCACGACACCCTGTCTCGCACACAAAGGAACTGCCATGTTGTGTCTCCATTAGTCCAGTCAGAACGAGAAGACGTCCTGGACCATGCCAACCGAGTCGATGTTAAGGCCGGCGAATCCGACGAGGCCTCGTGTGAGTTCGTGTGTATCGCTGATGGCATGCAATTGAACCGTCAGCTCGTGTAGCGATTGTGCACCCTGCATGGATAGACATGGACAAAGACACAAACATTCATAAGCAGTGATGGCCAGTATGTCGATCAGATCAGCTGCCCGACTGACCGAGAAGGTGAAATCAAACCAGTGGGGCATCATCCAAACGACCCAGTCGAAGGACCCCACCCGCAGCACGGCCATCAGCAGGAAAGACAGCAGGCAGAAGAAAATTATCGGCTGCAACAACATTCAAAAGCGCAGTCGGCCCAGTATCGGCTGCAGTATCTCCAAGGCTGAAACAGACCTACCTGGAGGATAAAACTGTTTAGAAACTCAACCGAACACACCATCACAAAGTCCTGATAGATCACGTAGGTCGGCTGGCCCTCGAGGCCGCTCTCCGCCAGCTGCGACGAGAAGGCGAAGAGGAGCAGGAAGGAGCAGCACGCGAACCAGTAGAGGAGCCCGATGGTGATGCCGATCCGTTCCTTCAGCCGCCACCGCGACAACACAGCTATCTTTCTGTCCTGTTGTCCCGACACACACACAGGTGCAACATTGCAGGAGATCCATCAATACATGGACAAATGATAGGCCTTTCACACCGACCAATGAGAAATGACCTGACCGACAACATATGACAAGAGGCACGTTTTCAGTTGGATGGATGTCTCTTTGTATGTAGTTACCAGAATGGCGTCCTGTGAGGTCGGCGATGCGTCGAGGGGTCATCACAGTGAGGCGTCGCGTGTGTATTGACGACAGTTTCTGCGCGGTCATCTTCCTCTGTGCTCGCAGATTACGGGGCGTGGCCCCGTATTGTATTTCTGCACACGAGCACCACCCCCAACAAGCCATGACTACCTCTCCCCTCTCTCTCTCTCTCTCTCTCTCTCAACCTCTTACCCTGTCTTGTAGCTGACGGCATGATGTGAGGGACGGCTTTGCGGAAGAGGAAGAGCAGCGTCAGCGGAATGGGTTTGGAAAGCAGGATTGACCATAGGAGCACGGCGATCTGTCGGAGTGTGAGGAGCCACCCGATGCCCCCCGACTGCCAGGCCATCAGCACTGTGCTGTCGTCCTGCCGACGGCTGTATCGGCCCTGGTCGAAGAAGACCGCGCACATCGTCAAGATGCCTAGACTGATACTCCCAAAAAAGAGGGTCCGTTGCACGGCGGTGAACCTGACTCATCAGACAAATGTGGCCACTCCTGTCGTGTGTCTCCCTCAGTGTCTGTCGTCCTCAGTACGTGGGGTTCAATATGAAGAGCTGTGACGAGCCACACACAACCAGCCACACAGTGAGTGCCTACGCGCTGCCTCTCACGTGTCTGTGTGCTGCGTTTGAGGTGTGTGCCTTTCACCTTGAGAAGGGGGTGGTCTCGACGGCAAACCTCGCGGAACATCTTTGGAGCGCCCCATTCCACATACTCGACACGACGCAGTGTTCGGGTCACCATCAGCTCCACCTCCGCATTCACATCAATCCACAGCTCTGTTACGCTCTTGCGACGATCCGCCAGTTGTGTCGACCCTCTTTTGAGCTGGGGTCTGTCGTCTGGGGATGATGAGATCGCGATCATGACCGACTTGGTCGACTCGCGGCGCAGCTCTGGTCGGCTGCTCTCTGTGTCTCCTTGCTCCACAGCGTCGACCCCTTCACTCCAGCCGGGGGCCACAGTGGCGGGCAGCGGTGCCTCCGCGCCAGCCGCGTCGGCGCTAATCTCACCAGGCTGGCTGCTGCGAGAAACAGGGCTTGAGTCGAAGAATGAGCCAATGACATTCACCTTCTCGTCGCGTCCTAAACTGATGGGCGAGGTGATCTCAGTGTCCGTTGCAGTGCCATCGGCTGAAGTGTCTTGCGGCTGGCCGGCGATGTTGTCCAGGGAAGTGACAGTCTGCGGGCGGCCTACGATTGTGGGATTGAGGAGCGATTCCGCTGCGGCCTGCTGCTGTTGCTGCTGCTGCTGCCTTTTGCGCTCCAGGACGGCACTGAAAGAGCGTTGAATGAGTACGGCGGCGGCCTGCTGCCTCTGCAGCTCCAACAACAGCCGCTTTCGGAGCGCTTCCTTCAGCACGCCACTCCTGCGACGACAATGCAGACAGTCCGAGGCACAAACACGTCAGTCATTTAGTCAGAGTCAGCAGTTTAGGGCCCCCAGCATACTTGATAAGAGAGACGTCTTTGGCGTCTTTGTCATGGCTCCCCCACGATATGAGCTTGACCCATGCCGACTCGAGCCTCCGGGTGTCCTTTCTCGTCTTGTCTCTCTGCAGCAACCGCTGTATCGCCCGGAGATCCTTGGCATCGACCGCAGCGCTCGTCGACTCGGCAATCGACATGTCGGACTGCACGTGATCCTCTTCGTCAGAAGCGAACTCCATCGACGCATGTGGCGAGCCGATGCGCTTGACTCTCTTGCGGGGGGAGGACTCGCCACTCTGCAGGGCGGATGGGCTGAATGGTGCCGGTATGTCCACCCCCCGGCCCTCTCCTCCCAGAGCGACATGCTGTTCTTCAGAGGTCGTCCAGTTTGGGGGGAATGTGGGGACGTCCTCTGCGAGATGTGTCTCGAACAAGGCGCTCTCCTGTGAGAGTAGGTGCTTGATCTGTCGCTTGGAGTGGAAGTGCTTGATGAAGTCGGACAAGGAGGGAGGCTCCTCCGCCACTTTGCACCTCAGCTTCTGGTGGTCGACGTTTTTCTCTGCCCACTCGACGGACAACCGCTTGTTCATCCTGCACCCGCCCACACATCCATCTCTCCAGGAGGGTTCACACAAGTAGGAGAAGCTTGTACCATTCCTCCATTGTGGGCTTGGTTGTTTCAGCCCTCACAACGGTTGAAAACTTGGAGGGAGGCTTGCCCGGCGATGGCTCGTCGTGTAAGCTTATGATGCTCTTGCCACTGCTTGGGGCTGTGTGGACATCCGTCAGGGGTTTGCCTTCGCTCAGCAGGTCGTTGCGCACCGCTCTGCAGCAGAGAAGGAATGAATGGCAGCGGTTATTTGTTCATCAGGGGAATTCACTTACCTGAGTGTGCGCAGTTCCTGGAGATGCAGTGTGGGCTCTCGCTTGCGGCAGTGCAGGTAGATGCCGCCGAAGATGCGGCATATGAGGAAGTCGCACCACCAGGGGTGGTAGCACCGACGGCCGACACAACCATTGATACTCCGCTGCAAACTCGACCGCTGCGCATGAAGAGCAAGGACGAAGGAAATGGGTGTCTATCTGCGGTCGTTGATTGTATGTGTGTGTGCTTACGGCTTTGTGTCGTGTGCTGTCGCGACAACCGGCACACAGCAGACAACAGAACAGGAGTGAGACCATTGGTGGACATACACAGTGTTCGAATGACCCACTCACTCGAGCAGTGGATCGGTCATCCTGATGAAACATCCAATCAAACGGGTGGATAATGAATTCACAACACAATGATGCGTGTGCGCTGTGTCGTGACTGACCATATATCAAGCAAGATCTCATCAGTGATACTGCCAAGAACGACGATCAAGACCAGCACACAACACATAATGATTGTGTGTCTCTTGTCTGTTGTGCTTACGGGTGTTTGCAGTCGAAGTAGACCGAGAGGATTAAGCAAGTGGTGTGTATGGCGATCATAATCGACACGAAGAAGGCAGCTATGTTTTGTGTCCACGCGGTGATGTCGGCCATCCTGGCGAGGGAGTCACCCGCACCGCCCACCACCCCAGCTATATGGCTGTCAACGATCACACTCCTGCAGACACGGAAGCACTCACACACGCATCATGACCTAGGTGTGTGTGCCAGCGGTGTCAGCTGACCTGAAGAGTGAAGAGAATTCTGTGAGGTGAGTGCACTCACAGCAGAGGGTCGTCTCATTCGACAGCGCCAAATTCACATGACAACCTACACATACACACCCGTTAATTCATTGATCGACCGATGGATTGATCCGAGAGACACGTGTGTGCATGGCTGACCTTGTGTGTCCCACTGGTGCGTCGATGCGTTCCAGAAGCCACACACCACATGTACATCGTACGCCCTCTCCGTTCCATTGACAGAGGCATTGCCAGCCGCCGGCACGCTGTCAGCTGAGGGGCGAGGGATGAACAGCCGGAAGGGCCTTTGCTGCCCGTCACCCGCCGTCAGCTGCAGGTCGCTGCCGCATTGTCGGGCCGACACAGCCAAAGTGCCCTGCGCTGCATTTCTAAGAGTGTCGTTGGCGGTCAGGTTGGCCATTGGCACCTCCTCCTGAGCGGCATAAGCGTATGGGTCGTCGGCCCAGAAGGTCATCTGCACACTCTCGCGCAGCCCGCCGCCATCGGCGCACACGGCTGGTGGGATGGATGGCAATGAAGGCATGTCCACGGCCACACTGGTTTCCTTCATCGTGAGTGTGGCCCCACTGGCCGTGTCTGTGCGGGCAACTCTCAGCCGCGTCTTGGCGCCCACCACTTCGGCCGTGCCATTTGGATGTGCGGCTGCACGTGTGGCGAGGCTGTCTGCCAGCTGGGCTGTGGTGCCGATGATATCAGATGACAACGTGTGATAGGTCCCGTTGGCAGCCGGTGTCAGCCGCCGAAGGTGTCCGTCGGCCTTTGCTGTCCTGTTGAGTTGTCTGAGGAGGCCGGCCGCCCCATCGAGATAGTACTGAAGGCCCTGCAGCTCCTTGACGGCATCCGCGAGAGTGTCGTCCGGCTGGGAGATGGTGTCCGCCGAGACGGCCGCGAGAGCCTTGAACGTCGCGACGCCCGCCTCCGCCGTGTCCATGTCGTCGTTCTCTGCACACACAAGACAGCACGGCAATCAGGTGATCTTGTGTGTCTATCTTTGTTCTGCTGCATGCCTGTCTCATCGGCCACCTCGACGGTCGTCGCCAGCGTGACGGCTGACAAGAGCACTTCAGCCGGGCTGCTCGACACATCACTCAACTTTGTCGACCGATCGATAGCAGCCTGACCAGGTACACAAAGGACAGAGGAATTGGGTGCCCTGTCGTTGCTTGTGTGTGTCGACATGTACCTTTTGCAGGTTGCGCATAAGTGCCTTGACGACTGCGTTTCTTTGCGCCTTGGTCTCTTCCTGTGTGGAATTGGGCTTTGCCAGCCCGGCCATGTCCTCTTTGCGGGCCACTTTGGCGACGTTAATAGTCTTGAGTAGCCGAGAGCTGAAGTCCTCGGGCGAATCCACGGGCGGCGGTGTGGGTGGTTCCTCGCCCTCGCCCCCCACCAGGCTGCCGATCGTGTCCTCTGCATCCGAGATGTCAACTGCATCGGGGTTCTGCAGCAAGTAAAAGAGACATGCGCACACACGAGACATACATGCACCGATGCAAGTGTCTCGTCTCTCGGTGGGGCCAGTCACTTTGAGATTGTCTAGGTCGTCTGTGATATCGTCCACGTCCACCGGCGGGACGAGCACCGGGGGCGCACCAGCTAAAGACAAACACGGAGGGAGGCAGCAACAGCCAGCCGATCGACGTTCATTGTGCCTCTCGCGTATCTTTCTCACTCACTTGTGGGCGCCATTGGCGGTTCTGTCGTTGGAATGCCTGGCTGGGGGACTGTTGTCGGTGGTGCAGTGGTCACAGGGCCTGTGGTCGGTGCAGCCGTGGTTGCTGGCGGAGGTTGGGCGGTTGTCGACGGTGGCAATGTGGTGGGAGGTGGAGGTGGCGGGGCTGTGGTCACGGGTGGAGGGGGAGCAGTCGTCGGTGGTGCTGTCGTTATGAGGACTGAGGGAGGCGAGCAAGGGGACACGAGACAGAGAGAGGGAGAGGCAGAGAGAGCTGACGAAAAGGCAAGCCTTGTGCTTACAGCATGGCGAGCCTGGCGTAGGGCATGTGTATCCTGCTTCAATCTGGCACGTATCTGAGCATCCGTCTCCCGCCGCCGTGTTCCCGTCATCGCACTGAGAACGTACACAGCCAGCCAGTCATCATCGGTGCTTGTGAGACCGTCTCACGCTCGTGCACGTACAAAGAAAGACATTACCTCCTCCCCGCCAACCAAGAGGCCGTCACCACATACTGGTACGCAACTCGCGCTGGGTGTTGGGCATGTATAGCCTGATTCAATCTGGCACGTGTCTGAGCACCCGTCGCCCGCTGCAGTGTTCCCGTCATCGCACTGAGAACGTTCACATGCACACACTTCCGAGACTCGCCCATCTGTGCGTGGGCACAATACGCGTACCTGTTCTGAGCCCTTCAGTTGACCATCCCCACATATGGCTGCCGCGCAAAGACGCAAAAGACAACAACAGTTTTTGCTGTGGTACGTGTGGCGTGGCGTGGTGTGATGCATACTTACGATCGCACGGAAACCCAGGGGTCGAACATACCCACCCCACCTCCAGCAAACAGTTGTCGTCGCATCCGTCGCCTACAGACACGAGCAGCGGAATGGATGTTCTTCCTCGTGTGCTGTTTATTGTCGTTACCGACGGCCGTATTCCCATCATCACACTGAGACACCAATGTACACAGCCAGTCAGCCACATCGATACTTGCGAGACTCGCTATCCATCGCTTATGTAAATACATAGGTACAGACACAGACCTGTTCCCCGCCAATCACGAGGCCGTCGCCACATAACGGTTCGCAAATCTCTCCGGGTGTGGGGCATGTATAGCCTGATTCCGTCTGGCATGTAGCCGAACAACCGTCGCCCCCCATGTCGTTGCCATCTGGGTGGAAGCAACAAAAGGAGACGGAGGGCATATGGCGTCATGACAGCTGCTGACTGCAGTGCAGTACAATAAGTACCATCACAGGTTTCGCTTCCAGTCACAATGTAATCGCCGCACTTCGCTTCAGGCTCAATATCTAGAAGAGGACAGTTACACCGTACTGCCTTCAGAGATGCGCTGCGGATCTGCGCTTCTGTGTTTACCGAGGCAGTTGGCTGCACATGCACAATCCCGGATCCCAGCTGTAGCATGGATACCACACCATTGCACGCAAGACAGAAGGCAAAAAACGGAATAGAACAGAACATGTCCAGTCTCCCCTTTCATCCTACTGACAGTCGTAGTTCCCGTCGGGGAACTGGTTCCATCCGTCCGGCGCCGGGTCTGCTCCCCATTTGAGGAAGCAGGAACCGGCATTGTGGAAAGAGAACCCACGGCACTCGGGCGTATTCCGGCACGCCGCCGCACATTCGTTGTAAGTGAAGCCGGGAGCTCCGTGCCAATTAAAGAGGTTGCCGCTGAAGAGAACCTCCCCATTATACTGCTTAAAGGTGTCGCAACCTTCAAAGATATGCCACGAGACAGGACAAGCAATGCGAGACTCGTGTGTTTGTGTTTCTATGTGATTGACCTGGTTGAACGATAAACTCTATTGTCGCGGGAGTATTGCTCACAAGGTTGCCCGAGAAATCCGCCACATTGTGTGAAGGATCGAGTCCAATCACGACTTTGGCAGTGGTGAATCCGGGAGGCAACTCATCCAGACGGATCTGAGTGACAAATGGAGATAAGACACATCCCCCACCCCCGCATACACACATATGCTGTCGTGCCCACCTCGACGCCCCATTTGTCACTCCATAGCGGCCATGTGACATTCTCCTGGTGCAAAGGCGCGAGGTGGACCCAGCCCAGGCCCCCGTCAAAAGTGCAGTTGGTGCAATGGATGTCCAGATCAGAGGGGTCAATGTGCTTCACTGGCTCGGTGAAGTGAATCTCTGTTGGGCCAAAACGGAGGAACATGCGTGTGGATTTTCTGTTCCGTTCTCTGGTGATTGCGTACCAGCGAATAGATGGATGTAGTTGGGGTGGTTGTAGAAGTTGGGGACGCTCCCACCGGGTAAGGGTAAAGCGCTCGTGTCGCCGCGGCGCACTATCATCATCTCAGGTGCTTTCACATCTTAAAAAAACACGGAAAGAAGACAGACAGACAGACAGACAGAGCAGTAGGATATGATGTCTGGAATCACTTTACCAGCATTCACGGAGCAGGCCCTCGCGGAGCTGACTTGAGCGGGGTTTACTGAGCCACTGAGCTCGGCTTGATCATAGAGGCGACAGGGAGCTGGGACCGACCCGCCGCCAGGTTGGCCATTCCGGGCGTCGAAGGTGAAGGATTCGCAACTGGGGTTCTCAAGACACAGTCGGCTACAGTGCCACCAAGACTCGGCATTGGTGTCCTCGATTGTTGAATGCGTCAAACCCTCCCCCCAGAGCATTCCGCAGCCTGACGAAGCGCACACACACAGATTCGCGCATCGACTTTATCGACTCAGGCACACACCGTGGTACACGATGAGTGTATTCGACGGGTTGTTGTGGTCCAAATTTCCGTAGTTACGTGAGAACACATTCCCCGGCACCTGGATCGTCACGCGTCCCTTCTGTATGGGCCATATCCACTCGACAATCTCTCTGTTGGTTGGCTGTGAAACAAATACGATAACTCCGTTGACGCCGCCGAGTGTCTGCCAGCTCGTCAGGTTGGTGAAGTTGTTGAAGGCCAGACCAGAAATGTCCTCTGAAAACCGGATGGTGACCTCGAAATAGTTGGCTTCAGCGTCCGCGGGGAAGACAGATGGCATCAGCACTTGCACCGATGGAGGCTCCACTGCACAAATAAACACGAGACTTGCAATAATCTCTTTGCTTTGCCTGTGGTCGAGTGTGGTTGGTTGGCCATGGTCACGCACCGCAGCCGGCCTCGTGCTTCTCACACTGACAGGATACATACATAGCATGACGGAAAGAAAAGAGGGGAAGTGCTCAACAATCGAGAG